TTTACCGGGGATCTTCTTGGTTTGCTAAGGCGTGTGTTTGCTAAGGCGTGTGTTTAACTTGCTCGACATTTGTCTGTTTCTTTTGCTGTTGTAGTTTGCCATGAGAGGCTGCCAAGTGTCATCTAATTTTTTTACATTTGTTTTTTTAAATTATTTGTAGAAAATAAAAGAAAAATTAAGTGTGTTTTAATAACTTTAGCAATTAATTCTAACAATTAAATAGCTAATTCTTTTATAAATTACTTATAACAAGTTATAAATAAGTGTTTTGTGTAGATTTATATAATTCTTATGTAAATGATAATATAATTTTTATGTAAATCAATGTATAGAAAATAGATATTTTATTTATAAAATCTAACAATATCCTATACAAAAAACATGTTATTTTTTTTTTTTGCATTTTATAGAGGTTATTGCGATTTTAAAATAAATAAAAAAATCACAAAATAGCTTTAATAAAGAAAGCATAACATGAACAAAAAAAAAGATGATGTGAGAAAATTAATTAAAGAATGATTTAGAACTTTTAGGGCTGTTAAATCCAAAAAGTCTAATTGGAGAATTTTAGAATTTAAACGCTTTCATAGCTTTTAAAGCCAATTTATCAATCACCCTCTAATGCAATTGAAACAATTTGTGTTGGACAAAGTAACTTTCCTAGCCAAGACTCTCGATAGAAAACTTTACTCCATCACAAATTGTAAATCCAGTAAAATAGCAATGAATTGATGTAAAAGATAAAAATCACAACAAAACGATAAATAGAGTAAGACAAAAATACAATCAAATATCAATTAATATCTCCTTATGATTCAAGGTTTTAATGAAAAAAAAAGGTGCATTCTAACACCTATATTGAGATGATGTATATGTCTCGGTATAAGCAAAATATACTACAACTTGTATGATCAATAGATTTTTACAGACATATTTAATGGAAAAAAAGACGACCAACCATTTTTTTATATAAATATTTTAAGATTTTTCCAAACCCAAGTCATGAGAGGATGCCATGAGTCATCTACTCTTTTGACATTTGTCTTTTAATTTTTTTTTTATTGAAAACAAATTAAGTGTTATTTAACATTTAGTTCTTACAATTTCATAGCTAAGTTTAATGTAACTTAATTCCAAATATTAAAATATAACATAAAGATGACCAATTTCAATATGATAACCATTATCCTTTTTTTTTTTTGATATCCACCAAAAACTATAATTCTCGATTAAATGTGTTATTGTGAACTTTTGACGGTTTCAAAAATATATATTTATTTATTAAATACAACAATATACTATAAAACATATACGACTTTAGATAGGTAACTACTATTTTAATCTTATATAATATTTTAAGGTTTTTCCAAATCCAAGTCATGAGAGGATGCCATGTGTCATCTACTCTTTTGACATTTGTCTTTTAATTTTTTTTTATTGAAAACAAATTAAGTGTTCTTTAACAATTAGTTCTTACAATTTAATAGCTAAATTTAATGTAAGTTAATTCCAAATATTAAAATGTAACATAAAGATGACCAATTTCAATATGATAACCATTATCTTTTTTTTTTCTTTTTATATCCACCAAAACCTATAATTCTCGATTAAATGTGTTATTGTGAACTTTTAACATAATTCTTGATTAAATGTGTTATTGTGAACTTTTAATGGTTTTAAAAATATATATTTATTTATTAAATACAACAATATACTATAAAAACATATAAAACTTTAGAGATAGGTAACTACTATTTTAAAACAAAAATCACAAAAATAAAGTCACAAAAAGTTTTAATAAAAAGAATCGTTACATTAACCGAAAAATGGAACCGAAAAAATAGTTTGAGAAAATTAGTTAGTGATTTTAAGAATTTTAATGTTATTAGAATGCTAAAGTTTTCAATTATCTCCTAACCAAGACTCTCGGAAGAAAACCTTACTCCACCACAAATTGTGAATAAAAAAAACATAATAATTCACAAAAAATTGATGTGAAAGATAAAAATCACTAATTAATTTTCTCACACCATTTCTTGGGTTACTGTAATGATTCTTTTTATTAAAACATTTTGTGACTTTTTGTTTTAACATAGTAGTTACATATCTAAAATTTTAATTATTTTTTTATAGTATATTGTTGTGTTTAGTAAATAGTTTTTTTTTTTGAAATCGTTAAAAGTTCACAATAACACATTTAATTTGGAAATATAATTTTTGGTGGATATCAAAAAAAAGAAAAAAAGATAATGGTTAAAGTATTATTGGCTTAACACCATTGTTTTGGTTAATCTAGCGATTCTTTTTATTAAAGCATACGCTGTAAGTTTTATAAATGATAAGTCTATTTCTTTTCACATATAATATTGTATATGTCTAGCAATTTGCTCCAATTTTTTAAGCTTCTAACCTAGATAATTATTTACTAAACAACAATTTTTTGTAATATTAAATACACAAATAATCAATAAGCTAAAATTATTGGATATTTTATCATGTTGATTTTTAAATCCAATAATAATAGTATTCTATATTATATAGTTTTGACTTTTGAGAAAGAGACAAGATAGGGAGGCATGAATCATGATCAGAAGTATATTCTCTCTTTTCCCCTTCTTCAGAAACATAACTTTTGGTTTTTTGAGATTTTATATATATAAAGGGTTGCAAACAGATGCATGAATACACCCAAATCAACACTCCATTCATCGCAAAGAAAACAAAAAGGTATATTTTTTCGTCTTCCTCTGATTCTGTGTCTATATATTCTTTCTTTTTATGCGTTTGGGTCCGGTGATTTTATATTGTGTGTTGTTCACTTTGCTAAACAAAAACAGGTTTTTTGTTTGTTTTCATACTCTCTTAAGTAAGAATATGATAAATTTGTGTTGCTTTGATTGGTTTGGTGTATAAAACCATAAGAATACAAGTCTCAACTTTTGAGATTTCCACTTTTCAGATGGAAGGCCATATTCATGAGCATGACGACCACATGGTTGAGATTGGTCAGGAAGTTTCATCAAGCTTGAAGACATGTGGAGAATCGCCTTGCGGATTCTCAGATACCAAGACTAGTTCACTAGAAGCTCAAGAACGTGTAACATCGATGAGAAAGCTATTAATAGCTCTTCTTCTCTGTGCTATTTTCATTGTTGTTGAAGTCGTTGGTGGAATCAAAGCCAATAGTCTTGCCATCTTGACTGATGCAGCTCATTTGTTGTCTGATGTAGCAGCCTTTGCTATATCTTTGTTCTCGCTTTGGGCCTCGGGATGGGAGGCAAACCCGCGTCAATCGTACGGGTTTTTCAGAATAGAGATTCTTGGTGCTTTAGTCTCCATTCAAATGATTTGGCTTCTTGCTGGTATCTTGGTTTATGAAGCTATAGTCAGGCTCCATAATGGTAGTGGCCAAGTTGAGGGATCTCTTATGTTTCTTGTCTCTGCACTTGGTTTGCTTGTCAATATTACAATGGCAATTCTGTTGGGTCATAGTCATAGTCATGGCCATGGAACCAATAATCATCACCATCATGATGATGAATCCGAAGTCTTGATCGAGCAAAAGAAGCAGAGGAATGTAAACATTCAAGGTGCTTATCTTCACGTTTTGGGAGACTCGATACAAAGCGTAGGAGTGATGATTGGAGGTGCAATCATATGGTATAAACCGGAATGGAAGATCATTGATTTGATATGTACATTGGTTTTCTCTGTGATTGTGTTGGGGACAACAATTGGGATGCTTAGGAACATTCTAGAGGTTTTAATGGAGTCGACACCGCGCGAGATCAACGCGGCAATGGTTGAAAAAGGAGTGTGTGAGATTGAAGAAGTTGTAGCTGTTCATGAGCTTCACATTTGGGCAATTACTCTTGCCAAATTTTTATTGGCTTGTCATGTTAAGATTACACCAGAGGCAGATGCAGATATGGTTTTAGACAAGATTATTGATTACATCAAAAGGGAACACAACATAAGTCATGTGACTATTCAGATTGAACGCTAGTGAAGTCACTGGGACCAATTCTCTACTTGTACCTTCCATTTATGGTTTCAATGTTTGTATTTTGTATACAAAATGTGTTATTGTTTCAGTGTATGTGTTGTATTGTCTACGTTTTTGTTATTCACTTTAATAAACTCTGTAATTATACACAATTATCTAAAAGTTCCTCTCATGGAGATATGTTTGTTTCTTTGTTGTGATGCTTTTTCTTCTGCTCCCTTCAACTTCAAGTCTCAATCTTTTCTTCTACCGAGGTTTGGGCCGAACCTAAATTTCAAATCCAACCGGTTATGATTGGTTAATCACCAGTCCATGTCCTTTATGGTTGATTAGTAAAACCGGAATTTTTATTCTTTGTTTTCGTTAAGTTATGGATTACATCAAAGATTATTTATACTTGGAAATAATTAAGTTGTTAGATAGATTTTAATACAATATGGTTCAACGTCACATGACCAATTCAACTATTTGTATTTGTATTTGTACCATTTTTTGGTTAGAGACTCCTTCGTTATTATTGTACCAGATCCGTAATTTCAATCTGGTTTACGGTTTGGGCTTTAGAGTAATTGGGCCTGTAGTAAATTTCCAATCCGTGGAGGACCCGGTTTAGGATTGGCTTACTCCAATGGTTAATCAAAAATTTCCTTTTTCGAAAAGGAACAAAAAACTATTTCGTCAAGATTAGGGTTCACTGATAATACTCGAAATCAATCCCTCTTCTCTCACAATTTCTTAAAATCTTTCATCGATTCGCTTCCAGAGACAAATCTCCGATGTCGAAGAAGATGATCGTAGTGAAGACCTCCGATGATAAAACATTCGAGATCGACGAATCAATCGCAATCCAATCTGAGACGATTGCTCATCTCGTTGAAGACGATTGCGCCGCAAACGTAATCCCTCTCTCAAACGTCACAAGCGAAATCTTCTCGAAAGTTATTGCGTATTGCGGGAAACGCGTCGCTGGTGGTGGTGATCCCGATACTTCTTCCGATGAGGCTAAAGAAGATTTGAAGAAGTGGGATGCTGAGTTTATGGAGATGGATCAGTCTATGATCTTCGATCTTATTCTGGCTTCGAATTACTTGAACGTTAAGGGTTTGCTTGATCTGGCTTGCCAAACTGTTGCTGATATGATCGCTGCTTGCAAATCTGCAGACGAGATTCGTGCGAAGTTCGATATTGAGAACGATTTTACTCCAGAGGAAGAAGAAGAGGTTCGTAGAGAGAATCAATGGGCTTTTGAATGATTGGAAAACTTTCCTTTTTAGTGGTGTTTTGTTTTTGGGATTTTTTTTAGATTGATGTAGATGACTCTCTATGGTTTTTCTTCTTTTGATTTCGTTGATATGAACAATTTATGCGTTAGCAACATATAGGAGCAATTCTTTAATTGTCACAATCTCAATCCATACATCGATTATAATGCTGCACTGTTTCTACTAAATCTTTATCAAGAGAAGAAGAATTGTGTTCACTAACATGATTCTTCTTTTGTTGCTTGATAAGTTGACACCTTAAAGAACATTCTTCAATCTGCACAAACATTAAACAAGAAGACGATTCAAAACTCTTAAGAATAAAGGATGATGATCAAACTGTATGTAGAAGAAGGTTTTGTACATGTGAAGCCTGCGTTTTAAGAAGCGCGATTCCGCAGTTTTCTATCAGTGATCTTTCTCTGTTACTCACTCTTATTAATTCTGACACCAAACTCTCCATCTCTTGTGCCTGCAAGAATGTATCATCAAGGGAGTAAATCTTAGACTTGTACCAAAATTGAGACACTTGTGGAGATTTATTACTAACCTTTGACATATAGCTTCCAACACTCTGTGTAATGTTGTCCATAACTTTGGAAGCAACGACAAGTGCTTCTGCTAATTCTTTGTTTTCAACCTGGTTTTGAGAAGCAATCTATTAGTGATATATGCAGAAGATTGTTCTTATTTCATATGGACTGAACACATAAGATGTAAGTACTACCATGATGTCCGCATCGAGCGGAAGGCGTAATGAAGCATTGGACAAAGCTTGGATTGTTTGCGACAATGAAGCCGAATACTCTTCTTCAGTCGTAGACCATTGCTCCAAACATGGAGTCTGTTTTAGAGTTTCAAAAGGATAAGCATTTTTCCCACAAGCCTCATATGTTTATGTACAAGTTAATAAAGTGAAAGTTAAAAGTATTTCTAAGCTTACTTGAGATTCTGTAATCGAAAGAAGAGCTTGAACTCTCGATAAACTTTGAAGCTCAACGCGTTTCCTTTGCACAGAATCCCTTAATTCTGAGATCTTCAAACCAAAGGAATAAAGCATAGTCTACAAAGAAAAACAAAACACCATTAAAAATAAACACTTTTGTTACTACTTCACATACTTTAAAAAAAGATCAAAGACAGAAATTGACCTCGGTTTGTGCTCTCTGAGCTTGAGTTTTCACTTCCGTATTGGCGTTGGCAAATCTCCATTGCAAGTAACGATTGTGAAGTAGTTTCATAGAATGCACATCTTCCAATTGCTCTGAAACCTTCCTCTGCTTTTTCGTATCCACCGGAATCTTCGAATTCGGTGGCACGGGAGGCAACGACAATCCTAACCGCGAAAACGAACTACTCTCACGACCGTTGCAGCTCGACAATGGCGAACTCAGAGATCGATTAAAAGGAGAAGATACAAAATTGTTAAAGACTTTAGAATGAGGTCTACAAGAAAGCATTGGCACTTGATCCTGATCATTCTCACTAGATGACGCAGATATGCCGCTTAATTGGAGAAGCTTAGTTGCGGCTGAACCGGTAAGTAACCGTTGTTCATTAAACCGAGATTTAGATAGCGGTGGAACAATCGGAGTAGGCGTTTCAAACCGATGAGAATTCTCCTTGAGAATCTTCGATTGGCCTTGTTTTAATACTTTTCCGCCTTGCAAGAGAGTAAAAGGCGAGTCTAAACTACGCGCCGCCGTCTCTGAAGAGCGATTCTCGTCTCCTTCCGTCAATTTTAACTGACGTCTATGCCTCTGAGCTGAAACCGATCGTTGTTGATGGTGGTGATTGTGCTTCGGAGAATTCGAACTCAAAAGATGGAGATCTCCAGCGGAGGAAGAGGCAGAAGAAGAAGTAACCGGAGACATGAATCTCGAACTGACTTCTCTCACTCTCGGCCGTCGCGTTGAAGGCGGCGGAGCCGGCGTGGATCCACCGGTTTTCGCTTCCATATTTTCAAAATCGCCGGAGATTCCAATAAGAATTACTGTTCTTCACCAGAAACGAATTTCGAAACTATGCGAAAAGCTC